CAGGGCAGATAGATCGTGACCTGATAATCAGTTTTATCCATGTCAGATTTACTCTAAATGCTTTGGTTTCAGAGATATAAGCCAAAATCTACATTTTATCCCTATGTTCTATTTTTAGCCATGGTGGCCATCTTGGTTGGTTGGCAGGGTCATCGGACACATTTTTTAAACTAGATACCCTAATGATGATTGTGGCCAAGTTTGGTTAAATTTGGCCCAGTGGTTTCAGACGAGAAGATTTTTGTAAAAAGCTAACGACGACGGACGACAAGTGATGAGAAAAGCTCACTTGGCCCTTCGGGCCAGGTGAGCTAAAAATAACATAATGATAAAACAAAAGGCAACCTCTGACCAGTTTCCAATGTCTTTAAAAGTTTTCAATCCTAGCAATTAACCCTTGACAGCCTGTGTGAATCCCTGCTCATGTCTTTCAAACAGTTAATTAATTTCTGACTAACTTCATATATAAGTATTAATTGATCATTGGTTCAATATTTTGTGTTGTGACAAATATTAAATACATATTCAAAACAACTGCATAGTAAAAACCACCAACACTTGGATCTGATCCTCCAATCGTGACTTGTCTCAGCTTCCTGTCACTTCTGACATCAGGTCTTGTTCTGATGGGTGTGGCAGCTGCTCCAGGTGTACGGGGACCACCTCTGGATCCTGGTGTTCCATAATTCAGAGGTGAACTCAAATCTATTTCACTGGTAGGAGCTGAAAACATTCATTCTTACCATTAATGCCTTTTAAAGTATTTTGCTAATGAATAACAGGAAATATGATTAATAATATAATTAATATATTAAGAATAATCAAAAATTAAAGTAATAACCTCAGTTTGCTCTTTGTTAGACCAAATTCAAAAGTTTTCAATTATAACTTCCATTTGTGGAATAGTCTTGTAAAACCTTTATGTAGTCTTAATACACACAAATTTGACTAATAAAAATAGCCTTCTACTGCTTGCTGACAGAGCAAACTTATATTCATTTTTATGCACCTGTCCTAAGTCAGGATTCTGTTGTTCAGTGGTCGTCGTTTGTTGGTGTGGTTCACAAGTGTTTCTCATTTTTTATATAGATTAGACCGTTGTGACTGGATGGATAGTTGTCTCATTGGCACTCATACCACAACTTCTTATTTATATTTATTATCTACCAAGCTACATACCTGCTCTAGATTGAGGTGGACTGGAAAACAGGGAAGTGTCCTCAGCTGGTGGTCCTGATGGAGGAGATGAAGGCAGGGGTCGAAGGTCAGCACCAGGAGAACTATCCATTCTACGTTTTGAAGGTGGTGAGGAAGTTTCATCTCTTTTGCTTTTTCTTGCGCTACTTCTCGTTGACGAAGCTAGAATAACCCAAATGAAATACAAACAATGACAAACAGTATGTCGTTATGTAGTTTTCTGGGAACTGTCCTTCATATGAAATGACAAATACATAAACCACAAATTTAGTTATTTGACTCTTGACAATAAAGCTGTACCTACATTTTGTAATCTATTTCCGCAGTTTTAAAGACAACTCATATCCATTGTACCAAACTTCCCTCTCAGTTTTGGTAGTTTTATAATTTTAAAATGTTTACTGTTTGAAGAAATCTTTTCTTGATTGTCCATACATCTGTCTCTCATTTTTTATTTAGAGTTTTCTTCTACATAAAATGTCAATTTCTTCCTGTTTGTAAACAATTGGTTTGGTACGTTTCTTTACTCATTGAATATTTTTTTAATGGCATTTCTTTACTCATTGAATATTTTTTTAATGGCGTTTCTTTACTCATTGAATATTTTTTTAATGGTCAATACACAGGGCTCACGCTAGCAGGCGACTAGGGTGCAAAAGTCGCTTACCTGTCCTTTAATTAATGTTTGATCCATTGATTGCATTAAAAGCTTCATATTCCTTTCTGAATCGCTTGTCAAACTTCGTTCATTTTCGTAAATTTTCTTCGTCCGCCATTGAAATATTTGTACGAACCAGGGATCAGAGTCGGAAGCGGACCAGCTATGAACGAAATCTGTATTCTTACTATAATAACTACAGACGCCTGAATTGAACAGCTGACAAAAGAATAATGACCCAAAAAGTGAAAATTACGCATTCCACAAGCATTAATAGACTTTTGGTTGGATCTCCTTGATAAATGTATACATTTCCATGTAAATGCATTGTTTCAATTCATTGATTAAAGTTGCTTACAAGTACCTTTGTGAAATTTATATATCTTTTTAATGAGAAACAGTGAATTTCATTAAGATGATAAACAGAATAAGTTTTTTAATTGCAATTTTATTAATAATAAAGATGTTTTCTTTTCCTTTTTGATATAAAAAAGTTCTTATAAGTGCTAGATATTTAGCTGGTAGATTCTGACAAAGAGGATTAATATAATTATGCAACTATAAATGACTATTTAAGACATAAACTGAAACAACTTTTACTTTAATTGACTCAGGTATGAATTTAACTCCTATATAAAAAAAACATTGCAGTGCCGCAAGCGAACAAGCACTTCTCTTCCAAAATTCACCACTTCTCCCTACTAGATTCAAAAAAAGAAGTCACTTCTCCCTATGATTTTGAAGTAGTGTGAGCCCTGATACAAATAATTTTTTTGGTATTAATTAGATTCACTCTGATAGCTTCAGACAAGTTATACTGGCCTACACGGGAAACTTCAACCTTAAGTTGGACTCTTGTGATTTACACTGACCAGTGGATTTCTAAGTTGATACCTTTCTACAACGGTAATTTTTATGACCCCTTTCAATGCTAATTTTGCCAAATCACCATTTTTTTTTTACAGCTTTAGAAACAATGGCAGCACAAAATAATGTGGCAATATATATACATACGTGTTGTTGCACCTGATCTTCCACTTTTTCTGGTTGCTTAAAATATAAAACAAATGAATGATTAAATTAAGAATGCAGGAAGTTAAAAAATACTATGTTTGCATACTGAATTACATGCTGAAGCATACATGCTTAAAATATTGTTTTACATAAGCTTCATCTTAATAGAAATTAAAATCCAATGAACACTACAGCTTCATTTAATTTTGGAGTGGACATGCGATTTTTTACTATCTTCATAAGAATTGAAAATGAAATAGCTTAGAATAATGAGTAGGCTTTTGAATCTAATATTTATACAAAATCTGAGGTTAAACAGTCAAGTCCATAACCCTATAGAGTTACACTTGTACATGTATTACAAAATTTATAGGCAAGTTCTTATTATGGAAGAAATGTACATGTTAATAAGGGCTTTTCCATTAAAATGTATGTGGGAGGGTAGGAAAGGACTTTCAAAATATCCCTACAACAAAGAACCATTTTAGATAATTATGCATATTGGTAATAGACACATACTGAAAAAAGACCCATGATCCACATTCAATAATTAAACTTCCCTTCCTACCCTCCCACATACATTTTAATGGAATAGCCCAATCTATTACACATTTATCCTTCATACAAGTTTATAAAAGTATGGAGATTTGGTACATGTATGATTACCAGTGTTGTTTTTTTCTGAATATCAACCTGAATTTGGTTATAACCCTACCAAATTTAGACTGAAAGTGCAATACCAAGAGATTAAAATCACTGTTTTTCAACGTAAAGAGAGCCAAACCGCCAATTTGGAATGTTATATTTTGTGTCAATCTTTGTGACTTGTCTGTTCCCTCCTTAAGACTAGCCATGCTAGTGAAAAAGTCAACAAATTGCCATACTTCCTGAATCAATATCCTGAAATGTATGTCATACATAAAACATAATTAACAAATCATTTCCTAAATAACCTTACGAGTTTTAGCATTTTCATCTGTTGTTGGAGAAGTGGGCTCTGATGTCCTCCCTCGTTTACTTCTACGAGGTGTCAGTGGTTCAGACATGTTGGGTTGTCAACCAAAAAGGTTTATTCTACAAAATAAATAGATACATGTACATTATTTTTATAACAAAGTACAAAAGGGTTGAAAAACACTGTCTTCCTGACATAAATTGCATATAAGCATGATAAGTAAAAGTCTCATGCTTGGCAATAAAAAAAACCATCACTACATTAAAAGGAAATCATCTTCAGAGCTAAACACAAAATTTTCATAAAATTTCATAAATTTTACAGTATTTTTTTTCTTTCTTTCTTTTATTTTGTTTGTTTGTTTTTTCTTTTATTTTGGGTAATAACATGTATTTAATTTATTGTGAACTTTATTTCAATTAGATCCAGACGATTTGAGGAAATCCTTAAGGTAGGGCTTTTTCCCCCATCACAGCAAAAAATGCTGACATATATTTACTTTATTTTTTCAGAAGAAAAGAAGGGTCGACACCTATTAATAAGGGTTGTTCGGGCAACCAGAAATAAAACTATTTTTTTGAGTTCCTCATCATGAAATAACTTTTTGTGACTTTTTCGCTACTTGTACAAAATTGGAAGATTATTCCGACATACATATCAAAGTGGACTTTTTTTCCTGTGTCTGTGACCATTTTAAGTTAACCAACTGAAGTATGAATCTATCCTGGTCATTGCATTCCGAGGTACCTTAATTTGATAACAACATATATTGTATAATTTGTAATTTTTATTGTATTTTAGTACACAAATCATACTGAACCGCAGGCCCAGCCCAGGCTTGTAAAATATATGTCGGGCCTGTAAAAATCAGAGCACAAGTAAAAACTATATTGTGAAGCCTCTGAAGCTGCATTTTGAAGAATAAACTGAACAACCGAAACTGTCAATAAGCATTGTATACATAGTTTAAAATCAAGTTTGTCAATACCTTACTGTTAGATCTTTTTTTTGTTGTTTTGTGATGGCTCTTTGTCACGTGTTGAAATTCGCGGGAAATATTTCATTTCACTTCCGGTGAAAGATTTTTTGTTCTTTCTCGGCTTTAGCAAACATGGTCTAAAAGAAAACTCAAATTTCATCACAATAGATCAAATATGCTAAAAGTAGAATTTTTGTATCAGAATCCTGTTGAATATGATATTTGTCGTAAACACGTTGATCTCATTTTCGGAGCACGACTCATTTTCGATACCTAATTGTAAACACTAGCACATGGACAAGGAGGCCAAATTCTTACCCATTGTCGCACTTATAAGTGATTGATACCTTAGAACTAAGCGACTAACTTTAAGATCATGTTCCCATTGTTGTTAAAAGACTCTATTTTCTCGGTCGCGCAAAGACAGTTTTTAACTGATGCCAGGTTTCTTAACTGTCTTCGGATGTTTTGTTCTAGGAAAACAGACGAACAAACAAGCCATTCTCCATCAGGCGACATTGCAAGCGATGCAAGTTATGTACCTAGAAGATATAGGAAACGACAAGCTGATTCGTTACGTTCATCACATTCTAGGTCTGTTAGTGTTAGTAGGACATTAGAATCTGAAAACCATGGCAAACTTCAAGTCAAGGGAATGCTTGATGATATGATTACAAATTCAGATAAAGATAAGGGATTTGTAGAGACTTTTTCATCAGATGTTGATGAAAATAAAAAATCAAAAGAACACGAAAAACATTCACAAATAATAAGACCAGAAATTGACCCAGAGACAAAATCATTTACTTTCTTTCCTGGGCAAGGAAGCCAGTTTGTTGGCATGGGTAAACAGTTGTTACCCTTTCCAGGTGTCAAAGGACTTTATGATCATGCTAGTGAAATACTAAAATATGATTTACTGAAACTATGTCTTTATGGTCCAAAATCAGAACTTGATAAAACCATACATTGTCAGCCTGCTGTATTTGTGACATCGGTCGCAGCTATTGAGAGATTAAAAGAAGAAAACTTTCAGGTGAACAATAATAAATTCTCAATTAAAGAAGTTACTAACACCAAGCTGATCTTCCCTGAACTGTTCCCCCTCCCCATATACATTTGTACATACCAGTCAAGGGTCTAACCTAAATAAGTTATTAGAGAAAAATAACATACATGTGTTATTACAGATACATGTACTTTCATGAGTTGTCTGCTCCTTATTTCTTAATCTGTAGTAACATATGTTTGTTATTAGTTAATATATCAAATTATATTTTTATTTTTAGTGGACTCAAGGGATTTCTTGAAACTTTGCGCAGAAACTTAATGCATAACCTTGATAATATTTCCAATTAAATTAATACATTTTTTATCAACCATGGTAAATCAATGAGACAAAGCTTTTAAGGGATACACTACAAGGCTTAGTTATTACAGGCATGTAACTTATAAAATGAGACACTTGGGAATTAGTTACTGGGAAGCTTGCGCAGAACCTCATCACATGCTCTGATCATTATTTCTTACAATGAATTAAAACACATTGTGATATATGTCTGAGAAATGGCTTCGAAGACATGTAGAAAAGCTGTAATAACACCCTTTAGTTATTACAGGCATATATTTTCTGTAAAAACATAGGTGTACTATACATGATTGGCAAATTATAAACTGTTATATCTATCAAAAGTTTAAGTATACATAAACATGATAAAGACAATAATAATACCAATAGAACTTGTATACAATTTAACAAAGTAAAGTATGTATATTGCCTCTTTGAAACATGTAATATACAAACGTTATCACAGTTTTTTTTATATTTTAGCCCACAATAACGACATGTATGTTATTTTTCTCAAATAACTTATTTAAGCTAGACCCTTGACTGCATACATGTACCTGCCAACTTTTCAAAATCTCCATGTGGGATTAGCCAATTAGTGTACCGGAAGACAATAATTGAATAGCAGTACATTTATGAAGATTTTTATAATATAAAGGATTTACTTTTACAAGAAAGTTCACATACACTTCTTTCATAGTAAAACTTAGCCTTTCAAGTATTTAAAACATTCAACATTTTTTTTAAATTTGAAGTTTCATATGACATTGTATGTATTATATTATTGTTACATGTAATTTCTTGTACAGAAATACGTTTCGGCAATTAGTCTTGAAAGTAACAATAATTATTTCTTATACATGCATGACTTTGACATGTATTACTTTTTGTTACTATTTTCAGGTAATTGTAGCCAGTACCTTAAATGTTCTTGAATATGATCTATATTTGCTCTGTAAACGACACCCAACTTATTTAGTGTTAACATGGTTAAGTCACTTAAAATCAAGTTATATGGAAAATTAATTGATAAGTACATTTATATCATAATTTTGTTGTATAACAGGGTATAGAGAATACCATTGCTACAGCTGGTTACAGTGTTGGAGAGTTTGCTGCTATGGTATTTGCTGGAATGATGTCTTTTGAAGATGGTACATGTACTTACATATAGTAGTATAGCTATATATATTTAGATTGTTTGTTTAAATGTGATTCCTTAATTGAATTTCATTTTTAACCTGATTTCCAAAGGAAAATTTGGTGATGTACTGCAGGCAGGCAGGCGACCGCCAAACTATTTCCGTGCAATAACTTGGAAACGCTTTGACGAAATCTTTTCAAATTTAGATATATGTTGTTTCCTGTGACTAAATGAAGGTCAATTTCAATTTTACGATTTTAGATTTTATCGTCGTTGAGGTGTACTCCTTTAAGTAAGGTAGGTGAAAAGTGATACTTACATGTAGAGTGTTGTCCTTGCAATAACTTGAAAACACTTTGGCGAAATCTTTTCAAATTTATATATTTGTTGCTTCCTGTGGCTAAACATGCTAAATGAAGGTCAGGTTCGATTTTCACTATTTTTGCTTTTATCCTTGTTCAGTTGTAGACCTTTTAGTAGCTAAAAGTGATTGATTTTGGCCTTTCCATTTCTGAACCCTACAAAAATTCATTTATTTATTTTACTTGATCCTGTTTGGGGGTCCAGATTTGCAAATATCATTTCATGCAGGAAAATCCGGTTTGCTGTCAATCTGACAGCCTCTTTTTTTTTTTTTTTTTATATAGTTTAGTGACACAGTCTTGCAATTACGAGATTTATTAGTTTGATTGAATTGAGCACAAAATGCTTAAGCTATAAATGTAATTACTAAAAACTTTCATTGAGCCTAATCACAGGGCCTATTATAAGCATATAATCATGAAAGAAATATAACACTGATTATCACACATTTACATATCTTTTCTAAAAACTGTCAAATTGATTGTGGCGGAACCATGGAAGAGATTATTAGACAATGGTGATGTGCCATTTTAAAATAGATCATGGGGATCCCTGATTATTAATAATGCAGAAAAAAGGATAAATAGAATTTACTAAAAATATTGAACAATACAAAAGACCATCAAAGAAAAACAAATTGAGCAACAAGGTCATGGTCCAGATAGCCTGACTTGGTACAGGTACTCAATTAGGGGGAGATAACCATTTCTAAGTTCACACAAATCTCCCCCTTTGTCATCCAGACCATATGTTGCATACTCTTGCAGAGAATTGGCTAGCCGTAACTGCCCCATAAGCTTCATAAATTGTTTAAAGAGAGATAACTCTAGATTGTTTTTAATTACTATTATAAAGATCTACCCATGAGAGAATGACACTTTCATTATCTGATTACTAACTTATTACTATGTATCAATAATTTTTTTTATACATTATTATATTACTAATATGTGATTCCCTTCAGTCACCAGCAATTACCATATTTTTTGGTGAATCGTTCAACATTAGCTAGTGTGATTTTTTAACTGAATGAACTTTTATGAAATGTCTTCTTAAAATCAACAACACTATAACTGAAAAGAAAATCAGCAGCTAAAAATAAAAAAAAAAAATAAATCAGTGGAAATGATATTGTCTTGATAAACAAACAGGTGCTGTCATCATAAGAAAAAAGTACAATAAGTTTGTTGACCTTTAGATGTCCTTTGGTTTTTGTTCCGCCTTGACAGAGTCAAAAAGTGAGACATAGGTATGCTGTTTCAGGTGTAGGCGGCGACAACAATGTATTAGTTTGTGAATAAGTCAGTTTATGGGGAACCACTAGTGGTAGGTCAATGATATTTGGTATGCAGTTGTATTAGCTTTGGCACATCTCATTTCCATAAAGATTATTTGGCTTAGCTCAGTCATGGTCTATTGACTTTGAAACTTTTGCTTAGTTTACATGTATTAGTTAGTGATTATGTCAGTTTATGGGGAACCACTGTTGGTAAGTCAATGATATTTGGTATGCCCTTTTACCTTCAGTCCTAGCTCATTCACTGAATATTTTTCTTAAAGTACATGTTAAAGGGGCATTAGTTACGAGATATAATAAAAAAAATGAAATATGATTTTTTTTGTTCAATCATTAATGAAAGTGAAATAATGAAATAATAATTGGCTTTTAATAGCCAGTTTAATTCAATTTTGTCAAAATAAGTTAAGAAACATCACTGTTGAATTATTCACTTGCAAGTGAATAATTCGACCTCATTGAATCCGTATTCATGTGACCTTCAATTTAACCCATTAGCTAGAGATTGGTTACGCATGTATTGGTTGTGTTTAGCCATTAAAAGGAAGAGAATGTTAACATTGAAAGTGAAACAAAGGTGAACCATTTCGTTGACTGATTCGATCCACAAAAAAATCATTCTTTTACAGGTAAAAATGATCATTAACTTATTTTTTTTATACGACCGCAAAAATTGAAAATTTTTTTTATACGACCGCAAAAATTGAAAATTTTTTGGTCGTATATTGGTATGACGTTGGCGTCGTCGTCGTCGTCGTCGTCGTCGTCCGGCGTCGTCCGAAGACACATTGGTTTTCGCACTCTTACTTTAGTTTAAGTGAATGGATCTCCATGAAATTTTACCATAAGGTTCAATACCACAAAAGGAAGGTTGGGATTGATTTTGGGGGTTATGGTACCAACAGTTAAGGAATTAGGGGCCAAAAAGGGGCCAAAAATAAGCATTTTTGTAACTTCCAGACAATAACTTGTGTGTAAGTGTATGGATCTCTCTGACATTGTACCACAAGGTTCCATATCACAAAGGGAAGGCTGTAATTGATTTTGGGGGTAATTGCCTCAAAATTTTAGGAATTAGGGGCCAAAAAAGGGGCAAAAAACAAGCATTTTTCTAGTTTCATGACAATAACTTGTGTGTAAGTGTTTGGATATTTCTGAAATTGTACTACAAGGTTCCATATCACAAAGGGAAAGCTGGAATTGAGTTTGTGGGTAATTGCCCGAAACGTTTAGGAAAAGGGGGCCAAAAAGGGGCCAAAAATAAGCATTTTTCTAGTTTCCAGACAATAACTTGTGTTCAAGTGTATGGATCTCTCTGAAATTGTACTGCAAGGTACCATACCACAAAGGGAAGGCTGGGATTGAGTTTGGGGGTGATGAATCATAAGGGGGTTCAAAAAATTTGGGGGGGGGATTTTTTTTTTTTTCTTTTTTTCCTTTTTTTTATTCTTTTAAAATTTTCCATTTTAAGTTGGTTATTTCTGATTAATATTTAAAAGCAAATAATAATGATATGGTAGGAGATACACACCAAACAGGATGTGTAAATCATTATATAATAAGTATTGTGCAATAGCAAGAAATTTTCAATTGCACAGTATTGCACAATTGCAAGAAATCTTCAATTGCACAGTATTGCGCAATAGCAAGAAATCTTCAATTGCACAGTATTGCGCAATAGCAAGAAATATCCAATAGCACAATATTGCGCAATAGCAAGAAATTGTCAATTGTACAGTATTGCACAATAGCAAGAAATATTCAATTGCACAGTATTGTGCAAAAGAAGATACTTTGATGAATTGCTTATTTCTTGATCAATTTCAATGGGGTTTTATTTTTGAATTCTTGGGGTTCTTTAATATGCTGAATCTAACCAAGTATTAAGTTTTTGGATTTTGGGCCCCGTTTTTAAATTGGTCCACATTGAGGTCCAAAGGGTCCAAAATTTAACTTTGTTTGATTTCATCAAAAATTGAATTATTGGGGTTCTTTGATATGCCGAATCTAACCGTGTATTTAGATTCTTAATTTTTGGTTCCGTTTTCAAATTGGTCTACATTAAGGTCAAAAGGGTCCAAAATTAAACTTAGTTTGATTTTAACAAAAATTGAATTTTTAGGGTTCTTTGATATGCTGAATCTAAACATGTATTTAGATTTTTGATTATGGGCCCAGTTTTAAAGTTGGTCCAAATCGGGGTCCAAAATTAAACTTTGTTTGATTTCAACAAAAATTGAATATATGGGGTTCTTTGATATGCTGAATCTAACCATGTATTTAGATTTTTGATTTTTGGGCCCCATTATCAACTTTGTCCACATTGAGGTCAAAAGGGTCCAAAATTAAACTTTGTTTGATTTCATCAAAAATTGAATTCTTGGGGTTCTTTGATATGCTGAATCTAACCATGTATTTAGATTTTTTATTTGTGGACCCGCTATCAAATTGGTTCATATTGAGGTCAAAAGGGTCCAAAATTAAACTTTGTTTGATTTCATCAAAAATTGAATTATTGGGGTTCTTTGATATGCCAAATCTAACCGTGTATTTAGATTTTTAATTTTGGGTCCCGTTTTTAAATTGGTCTACATTCAGGTCCAAAGGGTCCAAAATTGAACTTAGTTTGATTTTCACAAAAATTGAATTCTTGGGGTTCTTTGATATGCTGAATCTAAACATGTGTTTAAATTTTTGATTATGGGACCAGTTTTCAAGTTGGTCCAAGTTGGGGTCCAAAATTAAACTTTGTTTGATTTCAACAAAAATTGAATATATAGGGTTCTTTGATATGCTGAATCTAAACATGTATTTAGATTTTAGATTTTTGGCCTAGTTTTCAAGTTGGTCCAAATTGGGGTCCAAAATTAATCTTTGTTTGATTTCAACAAAAATTGAATATATGGGGTTCTTTGATATGCTGAATCTTACCATGTATTTAGATTTTTTATTTGTGGGCCCGCTATCAAATTGGTTCATATTGAGGTCAATAGGGTCCAAAATTAAACTTTGTTTGATTTCATCAAAAATTTAATTATTGGGGTTCTTTGATATGCCAAATCCAACCGTGTATTTAGATTTTTAATTTTGGGTCCCGTTTTTTAAATTGGTCTACATTAAGGTCCAAAGGGTCCAAAATTAAACTTAGTTTGATTTTAACAAAAATTGAATTTTTGGGGTTCTTTGATATGCTGAATCTAAACATGTGTTTAAATTTTTGATTATGGGACCAGTTTTCAAGTTGGTCCAAGTTGGGGTCCAAAATTAAACTTTGTTTGATTTCAACAAAAATTGAATATATGGGGTTCTTTGATATGCTGAATCTAAACATGTATTTAGATTTTAGATTTTTGGCCCAGTTTTCAAGTTGGTCCAAATTGGGGTCCAAAATTAAACTTTGTTTGATTTCAACAAAAATTGAATATATGGGGTTCTTTGATATGCTGAATCTTACCATGTATTTAGATTTTTTATTTTGTGGGCCCGCTATCAAATTGGTTCATATTGAGGTCAAAAGGGTCCAAAATTAAACTTTGTTTGATTTCATCTAAAATTGAATTATTGGGGTTCTGTTATATACCAAATCTAACCGTGTTTTTAGATTTTTAATTTTGGGTCCCGTTTTTTTAAATTGGTCTACATTAAGGTCCAAAGGGTCCAAAATTAAACTTAGTTTGATTTTAACAAAAATTGAATTCTTGGGGTACTTTGATATGCTGAATCTAAACATGTGTTTAGATTTTTGATTATGGGACCAGTTTTCAAGTTGGTCCAAGTTGGGGTCCAAAATTAAACTTTGTTTGATTTCAACAAAAATTGAATATATGGGGTTCTTTGATATGCTGAATCTAACCATGTATTTTGATTTTGGGCATTGGACCATAATAGGTAAATTAAAAAAATTGAAGTTCTTAGGCCACATTCTTTCTGTGTCAGAAACCTATGCTGTGTCAAATATTTAATCACAATCCAAATTCAGAGCTGTATCAAGCTTGAATGTTGTGTCCATACTTGCCCCAACTGTTCAGGGTTCGACCTCTGCGGTCGTATCAAGCTGCGCCCAGCGAAGCATTTTATTTAACCTATAACATGAAATCAAACAGACCTAGAAAAGTCCAATTGCACTGTAAGGTCGCTATCTCTTTATATTTATGTTTATGTTCATATCGGGTTATGTGACCGTCGGCAGTCTTCGGAGGTCATCTCAATGGTTAATTAGATGGCGTCTAGACTAAAATACACACGAAAAGCTGATATATATTATCGAGTCCATGCATTGTTAATTGTTTAATTCAGACTAATTGTAATTTGGGTATACGTTTTAGTATGTTATAAATCAAATATGAGAATTTGAGTCAAATCGGTGAACATGAATTTGACAGCTAATTCCCCTTTAAAGTATTGCCATTTTAATTTCAACATTTACATTTTACTTTCAAAATAACAAAAAGGCGAGACATATCTCTGTGTTAACAGTTTATTTATGTCCTCAGATTGCTATCTCATTAACATATACCAATCTCTTTTTACTCGTATCTAAATTCTCACAAGAAACAATTTAATAAAGACAATGAAAAATAAGAATATCTCAACCATGGCAAAACAGTTATTGCCACAAAACTTTACTTTGTCAAATTGAACATTCAAAGCTTTCAGTTTTTGTCATGGTTTGACGAAGTTGAAAAAGCCAGACTTAGGCGGGCTGTTTCTGGTTTCATTGGTAGCAGCGTGAACAATGTACTAGTTTGTGATTAGGTCAGTCGATGGGGCACCATTAGTGCTAGGTCAGTGGTATTTGGTATGCAGTTGTATTAACATTGGCACATCTCGTTTCCATGGAGATTATTTGGCTGCACATCTCGTTTCCATGGAGATTATTTGGCTCGACCCCTCAGCCATGGTCTATTGACTTTGAAACTTTAGCTTAGTTTACATGTATTAGTTTGTGAATAGGTCAGTTTTTTGGGAACTACTAGTGGTGTATCAATGGTATGTGGTATGAAGATTTATAAGGTTTGGCACATCTTATTTCCATAGAGATTATTTGGCTCCTTCCCCTCAGTCATGGTCTATTGACTCTGAATATTTTACATACTGGTAGCTATATATATATAGTGTACATGTACATGTTAAAGTTTGTGTTTGGGTAAGTTAAAAGGGAACCACTTATGATAAGTCAATGATATACATGTGGTATGCTGTTGTATAAGCATTTGCATTTCTCATTTCCATTGAGTTTATTTGGCCCTGCACCTTAGTCATGGTTCATTGACTTTGAATGTTTTGCATAGTTTACATTTTTAAGTATTGCCATTTTAATTTCAACATTTGCGTTATACTCTCAAAATTACAAAAAGTGAGACATATCTCTGTGTCAACAGTTTATTATTCTCATTATCTGTCACTATTTTCAGCCCTCAGCGTGGTCAAAGTAAGAGCCCAGGCAATGCAGCGAGCCTCAGAGGAGACTCCTAGTGGAATGATGACAGTGTTTTGTTTCTGGGGAACCAAACTGAACCTAGCTACAGAAGCTGCTAAACAGTATTGTAAGGAGCACCACCACATAGAAGATCCTGTGTGTAAAATAGCCAGCTACCTGTTCCCTGAGGTTAAAGTCATAGCTGGACATGATGAGGTACAAAGAGGTTCTTCTATTTTGAATGAGCTTCACAGTTTCTGTACTGAGAAATTTAATTTTTTTAATTTATGACTGAAAGGCTAACAATAATTAAAATTTAAACGTCAAGAGTCGAGAAATATGTTGTACAAGACACAGTTTTAAAATCTATTCCTAACTGATATTAGACAATATATAGACAAACTTTGACATTCTTTCTTGTATACGTCCAAAGATGTTATTTTCTGTGTATTTGCCACCTTTTTATTCCCCCTAAGCAAAGTGGAAGTTGTGTAGTAATCCTGGTGTATGTCTTATCATTCATTTGTTTGTTTTGTTTTCCATTCCCCCTACTCCTTTTTTATCAGTTATTCCTCCTAAACCCCTTTCAGTATTTTCATCTTTCTGTAATGACAACAATATTTTTTACTTACACTGGTATAGTTATAAAGTGAATCAGTTATCTGAATCATTGTTCTTTTTTTTTTTAATAAGAAAACTGGTACCCGTATAGACAGGTATGTGTTAAGTACAATGCACAGGAACCCAGTAGTCCAGTCATTCTATGGTTATACCTCAAACTAATTGCAACAGAAATGTTTTTTGCGGAATTCGTGAGAGATATAACGTATAAGAAACATATTAAAAATCGAGAAAAATCGAAATAGGGGAAAGTCGTCAATTTTGGCGAAAAAAAAATCAAGATTTTACTTCAAATATTATGGAAAGATATGGCGCCCGTAGATTGAGAATGACGATATGGGAGACAACTCGTAATGGTCAACTGCAGACGACGCATCTAGTGTCCATCCTTTTCATTCTGGTAAGTAAATATAAGACTTATATATAAAAGTTTTATATGTATTTAGCACTCTTAAGAGTAAAAGCTGTCATGCAAGGTATTTTTGGTGTTTTTGAAAGGCGTAAATACACGGGAGACGGCAAAAAGTAGTACAGGGCAGAAATGAGTTCATTTCGGTTTGACGAGGTCTCTAAACCACAAATCACGTGTAAAACAGCTCTGCTTTTTATATTTGGACTAAATTATATACATTTCATATATAAATCGCCCCGTAAAAAACAAATTATAGTCTACTGCCAGGAGTTGCTGACGGAAAAAAAAAAGTATGGAACGCCGTTAGTGCCAAAAAGGTTACATTCCAACAAAATTGAATTCATGGAAAAAGGAAGTTGTACTGATAATAAAATTTAAAAATCAAATCAAAGACAAATTGTTTTACCAAAATAAGATGAATATTTATTAATCAAATGATAGAGGGACATTTGAATTGTCCAGTTTAACAAAGCTACTATTATACAATTTAACTGAGCTACCATGCACCAAGCAGGGGAAAGGCACTCTATCAAACTTCATATTACATTTTGGGGCAATTTTTATTACTGTTGTTTTTCTGTGCATACATCAAGCAGGTATTTTACCCGAAAAGGAGGAGGGGCGCCACTTAATACTTGTATTAATGTCATATGTTTCTGTATAAGCGTTAACATGATAAAGTAATAAAAACACAATGAACTACGGCGGAAAGTACAAATAGAACCAGAATATCGACAAATAGAAACTATTAACAAACTGAAAAAAATAACTGTTGTAATCCTGAATCAAAATGAGTACAGACACTACATATGAATTATTTTATAGTATAAAAAAAGTCAACATAGATCTTTTTTAATATTGTATCCAAAACAAATCTTTTGATAAAATAATATGAAAGCAAAACCAAATTAATTGAATCTCGTCTTAACAGTTTTATCATTTTTTTAGGTAATGATGGATGCTTGTTTTTTCTGTCGGGTTTCTCTAAACAATGGTGAAGAAATAACACAACTAAGAGAAAAAGGATGTAACACAGTTAATAGGACCAGCCAAACCAGAAATGATACGATCGACACAACTCCAGGACAAAAAGTTCATCAGAAATGTCGACGTGATTACATAAACGCTAATTCAATCAAGAAGGACTTGCGAGACAAGAATTTATCGACAACCGAGCTAAGTCGTGACTTACGCTCTTCCACTCCTGTTTTCGAGTTCCAGAAGAACTGTTTATTTTGTGGAAATTATGCAAAATTTTCGGAAAGCAAAAGGGAAATCGACGTGTTTCCTGTCAGGACAACAGATTTTTCTAAGACCCTTAGAAACATCTGCAAAGAAAGAAATGATGAATGGTCCGAAAACGTTTTGAGGAGGATAAACATTGCGCCATCCGATTTGCACGCTGCAGATGCAATATACCACCAAACATGTAGTGTTAATTTTAGAACTGGTAAGCAAATCCCCGTTTCGAAGCAAGCAAACAAAGAGGTCAAACGAACGACACCAGGACGACCAAAAGAAGATTTACCAGAGAAAGCTTTCCTGCAAATAGTTAGACAATTAGAAGAAACACAAGACGAACCTGCAACCGTAAGCGATCTTGTTCAGGCTATGGAAGAAATTTGCGGAGAGAAGGCGTATAGTGTGGTGCACATGAAAAAGAGACTGCAAACTCATTTTGGATCCGATATCATCATCACGGAAGTAAACGGAGAGTCGAATATAGTCACATTTAGGAGAACAGCATCATCTATACTGAACGAATTTAACAGAAGACCATCATCTAAGAGTCCAGAAGATGAAAAGCTGTCGATGATAGAAACAGCAGCTAAGCTAATAAAAGCAGATATTATGAGCCTTAAAGATTCAAAATCTATATATCCGTCTTCTGTTGATATAAACTCACAGCAAAACACTGCCTTTGTCCCAGATTCGTTACGAACATTTCTAAGTGCATTATTTAGTCAAAACGACTCTACTGTTAAAGTTGCATCTGTTGGTCAAGCTATAATTCAGGCAACCCGACCAAGAACACTTATTGCACCGCTACAAATTGCCCTCAGTGTACAAATGCATCATCACTTTGGATCAAGGTTTTTGTTGGACACATTGAACACTCTTGGTTTTGCTTCTTCTTACACAGAGGTTCAAAGGTTTGAACTTAATGCTGCTGCTGCTGCTCATGACAGAACCGACACACAGTTTGGGAATGACACTTTCGTTCAGTATATAGCTGATAACGTAGACCATAACCTGCGCACTTTATGGTCATGGAACATTTCATGGTATGGGCATGATTGCAGCTGTAACTCCAGGATTTAGACTTGACAAAGCTGTCCCTAGGCTGTCTCCCACACTAAAGGAAGTCTCTGACTTAGCGAAGATTAACATAGATTATTATAAGATGCAATCTAAACAATCGTTACAGGCAGAGTTCGCAACCATGAATTATGAGCCAAATATGGTCGATACAACGTGGAAGTTAGACCTTCTGTCAAAAGTATGCTGGCCTTTGACATGCAACCAACCTAGTTGGTCAGCCATTATGCACAAAGTGATGGACGGTGATTATCCAGGAAAATCATCTGTTGTTTTTTTGCCAATGATAGACATGAATCCTAGTGATCTCACATGTATAAATTCAACACTTAACTTCATAAGCAAGCAAGCAAAGGCTCAACATTGTTCACCTATTTTGACATTTGATCAACCCCTCTATTGGAAGGCAATGAACATAATTAAAGATGAACCATTGGATAGTCCTTTAAAGTCAGTTATCTTGAGACTTGGAGGCTTTCATTTAGAAATGAGTTTTGTAGGCGGCATTGGTCACTTGATGGAAGGATCTGGAATTACTGAGCTACTTGAAACAGTGTATGCACCAAATGCAGTAACTCATATGACTAGTGGAAAGGCTATTGCACGAGCAGTAAGGGCACATTTCCTGATAGACACAGCTCTCACGTCAATAATCTTGTCACACATATACGGCATACCACTTCCAGATCAAATCGAAAATGAGAGTGGAACCAATGATATTAATCCGGCAAATTACATAAATACCGACATTACTGATATGAACGCTGAGGACCTTTCGGATGAGTTGCATGAAGCAGATTCGATGTTGGATGAACTACTGAAAGGGGACATATCCGTCGAAAAAGCTTGCGAAAATGTTTTATTAGATCAAATAAAATCTAGGATAGATAACTTTCGGGTGTCACACAAAAGTTTTCGTACTTCACAACTATGGTTCCAGTATATGGATATGATAGATATACTCCGTAGATTCATCAAAGCTGAAAGGACTGGTAACTGGGGTCTACATTTACAAACAGTCAAAGACATGCTTCCGTATCTTGCAGCTTCGGGACACAATCTGTATGTCAAATCATCACGAGTATACTTACAACAAATGCAGAACTTGAAAACAACACATCCTGACGTATTAGCTTTTCTACAATCAGGTTATCATGTTATAAGAAGGAGTGATAAATTCTGGGCAGGTCTTTCTTCTGATTTGGTCATAGAACAGGTTTTAATGAGAAGCTTAAAGACGACAGGCGGTATGACTCGGGGCAGAGGTATGTCAGAGGGTCAGCGAGCCCAATGGATTTTATCTATGCCAGACTGCGCGGAAATGAACAATGCTTTGCAAGAGTTTACTGGAGTCAATTATGGAACAAGTGACCAACATAAAGAAGGTGGGGATTCAAGGAGATCGAGAGACTGTCAAGATTTGAAAACATTTTTATCGTTTCTTATCAGCAGAAATCCTTTTGTAGAGGAAACCAGTTTGCGAAATATAGAAACAGGGGTCTCGGCGGACAAATTTGTCAATGTTGATAATTCGAAGGAATTAGGGATTAAAATTCTAAAGTCCATGGACGGACAGAAAATTGATGAATTTTCATTTAAAAGGAAAGAACAGGCCATTATCTTAAGTGCAAAATCGGCTATCAAAGTTGATGATGATGTCATTACTGTTGATTCACAGCTTCTCTTTCAGCGCTTTCTTGCTGCATCAAATGGCATATATGAAGATCAGTCTGAAATATTCACCTATGAACTATGTAGTCATCCCAGTTCAATGTTTGATCCAAATGGGCTCATGCGAACAGCACAAAAGTCTAGTCTTGCAGATGCTATTTGGGGAAAGGGCGATTGTTGCGCATTTGAAATGAACGAAAACGACAAAACTCAGTATATTATTGATGGCGGCTCTCTTCTCCATCAAATACACTGGCAAAGCGGACTTTCTTTCGGTGAAATTTGCCAGAGGTACGTTGACAGCGTAGAACGGAAATACAGTAATGCTATAGTTGTATTTGATGGATATGCCTCGGGTCCAGATACTAAAGATGCCACTCACCAGCGACGCACCAAAGGAATCATAGGCACAAAAGTTTCATTCACGGATAGAACTCCTTTCAAATCTAAAAAAGAAATATTTCTAGCAAACATCGAAAACAAGCAAAACTTCATTAATCTCTTGAGTGCAAAGATGGTAGAAAAGGGAATTGAAACTAAACACTCAGATGCCGATGCTGATGTATTGATAGCCCTTACTGCAATCGAGTCATCGAAAACAAAACCAACTGTTTTGCTAGGAGAGGACACTGATCTTCTGGTACTCCTTCTTTATCATGCGGACGTTACATCAAATTCGCTGATATTCAAATCTGGCAATGTGTCAAAACTCAACACAAATATTAAAATATGGGATATTTTGAAGACCAAATCGCTTCTTGGTGAGGAGCTATGTACACTGTTACCTTTAATTCATGCTATCAGTGGTTGTGACACAACTTCAAGAATGTTCGGTGTCAGTAAAGCAGCGACCCTAAAGAAATTCGGAGAACAAGACTTTGTAAAGGCTCAGGCACAGTTATTATGCAATGCAAACACAAAGGATGATGTAATTTCTGCTGGTGAAAACATTATTTCCTCTCTATATAATGGTGCTCCGTATGAAGGACTGAACGTTCTTCGCTACAGAAAGTTTGCTGCAAGAGTATTGACAAACAAAACGTGCGTTCAAATTCATACTTTGCCGCCAACATCAAATGCGGCTTCATTTCATAGCCAGAGGGCTTATCTTCAAATGAAAATGTGGATGGACAAGGACAATTTAAATCCATGTGAATGGGGTTGGAAAGTCGCTAATGGAAACCTTGTTCCAGTTAAGTGTACGATGGACGCAGCTCCCTCTAAATTACTCAACATTATTCGATGCAATTGTAAGACAAACTGTGACACTAAAAGATGTACTTGTAGAAAAAACGGACTTGAATGTTCAGTAGCATGTGGCGAATGTAAAGGAACTGGTTGTACAAATTCGAACAAAACAGTTGACATGGACGATTAAGTGACAATTAACTTCAAAAGATCTATGTAGAATACACAAAAAAACGTAATTAGCATAGTTAAGGGGTTTGGGTAAAAACTACTACATGTTTTTGTTATCCTATAACGTAATTATTTTGGTTTCAAGAAAAAGTATCAATCGGTTTTTATTGTTGTTATAAGATCTATTGACTTGACGAATTTATCATTATTTGATCTCCCTCAATATTTAACATATACAAAGTAAATTTGAAGACTCATAATCTTATTTGAATTTGGTTTTTTTAAGAAAACATAAATTCCCAGTTTTTATCGATTTTTTGCTAAAAATCCAACATTTTCACCCAAAATTTTCAACTTCCTGTACTTTGAAGTTCATCATATTTTCAAAAATTCATTGTTGTAATAAGATCTATTGACTTGATTAAAAATTATGTACGTTGCTATTTTAGTTTTTTAATAACGGCAAATTTCCAGTTTTCAGCGATTTTTCAACAAAATCCAAGGTTTTCACTCAAAATTAACAATTTCCCTTCATCCAAACTTTCTCGATTTTTCATATGTTCAACAGTAACCCAAAATCAGCTAGGAAAACAAGAAGAACATTCTGTTGCAATTAGTTTGAGGTTTGGTCATATTTTGGCATAGAAAAACTTGACATTGATGTCTGCAAAATTTAACCAGTCAAATAGGATAGGCATTTTGTATCTTCAACTTGTCCTAAACAGCTGATTAGATTTTAACCTAACATTCCAAGATTGTTTCTTTTATGACACCAATATGCACCTTCTATTTTATGTTTGTTCTGTTTTGTTTCTTACGTGTTTTCCATAGCATAGCATGAGAATGGGAGTATGAATTTGTGAACTGTGCAAATATATTAATACACCTACCTCTTAGAGGAGGGGCCTGATGGGTTATTTTTCGTTCTTCGTGATCGGCGCATTTTCACTATCGTGATCCGTTTTTCTACAGATTTTTTTTTTTTTTATATTTTAGTGATCCGTGATCATGGAAATTTATTTTCTGTGAATCGTGATTGACAAAAAAATCAACTCGTGAATCGTGATGAGACCCCCCCAATCAGGCCCCTCTTGGAGGGACAGTATATATTGATCTCAAATTTCCTGTCTGTCTGTTTGTATGTCTTAAGTTAAGTGTCCAGATGATAATCAAAGTACTGCTTTACTAATAAATTTAGAATTTCAACACATTGTAGTGGACTATTGAATACAGATCAATCAGATTTTGATGGTTTTGAACTAGACCTTTCAAGAGTTATGCCCCTTACTTACCATACAAGGTTTGTTTTCTTTTGTTTCCAGATGATAATGACAATACTGCTTGACCAAATCTTTTGAAATTCAAACACAATGTCATGGGTCATAATATACAGGTTAATTTCCAGGTGATAACGAAAGTATCTAAACACAGTAAAATAGTTTTTCAATGCTTTATCTTTTAGATAAAATGTCAGATGAGCCATATGAAAGGTCTAATTTATGGGAAAAAAATGTATATTAATGACAAAAAGTTAATGTAAAAGTAGTAATATTTCTGGTGCACATGTTGTTTAAGCCTGTCTTCAAAAGTTAAAAAAAGTTACACTTGAAGCTAGTTGTTATACTATAAAATAACAAGAACTAATACTTGCTGATGCAAACATACCGTGACAAAAATACAATGAGAAAAAATGTCATACAAAAAAAACAAATATTGGCTTCTATATATAAAAAAAAAGATGGGGTATGATTGCCAATGAGACAACTCTCCACAAGAGACCAAATGACACAGAAATTAACAACTATAGGTCACCGTACGGCCTACAACAATGAGCAAAGCCCATACCGCATAGTCAGCTATAAAAGGCCCCAAAATGACAAATGTAAAACAATCCAAACGAGAAAACTAACGGCCTAATTTATGTACAAAAAATGAACGAAAAACAAATATGTAAGACATCAACAAACGACAACCACTGAATTACAGGCTCCTGACTTGTGACAGGCACATACATACAGAATGTGGCGGGGTTAAACATGTTAGCAGGATCCAAACCCTCCCCCTAACCTGGGACAGTGGTGTAACAGTACAACATAAGAACGGACTATAAAAATCAGTTGAAAAAGGATTAACTCATCAGATGGATACAAATAGAAATACATCTAAAAAAAACACAGAGTGGACGTGGCCAGGTACTTGTATATCCCAACAACAAAAAGACACTAAGTACAGATCTGAGACTACTCGCAGTTACTGACAGCTAGTTCATAGCCACTAACAACTAATAAAAAAAATCATGCATCTAAGACTAAATTATCAATCAGTACACATCCAATATCCAATGGATTTAGTGTAAAGAGGTCATAAACAGTCAGAGAAAAACATGACCTTGTGCAATGCCAAAATACAGGTATCGACAGATTGTAGATCCATGAATGTGCATACATGATATAAAAAACAAATACACTGGAAAGTAAAAGACCTGGAATTATAAGATTTATTATTATTTTACCATTGTAATGCTTATTATTTTTTGCAGTTCATTCAAATAAGCATTCATATTTTACAGGCATTAGACTTCATAGAGAAGAATAAGAAAGATTTTGGAATAAGAAGTTGTAAACGTATAGCAGTTAGCGGTGCTTTCCACACTCCTTTAATGGACTCGGCAAGGAAACCTGTCAGTCATGCATTAAGAAGGATAGAAATACATCGTCCAAAATTTCCTATATTGTCAAATGTGACTTCTAATAGACTACAGAATAATGCTAATTTCCATAAGACCATTGTTAATCAACTGGTAAAACCAGTGAAATGGGAACAAATAATGTCAACGCTATTCACAAGAGACAAAACTAAATCGGCATTTCCATACACATATGAATGTGGACCGGGCAATCAGCTAGGAATTTTCTTAGACAAAATGAACAACAAAGCTTTTAAAAATTACAGAAACATACAAGTATAATGACGAGTGGAATGATTCTGTTACAAATTGTAGTCAGCATGATACAGTTGTTGATATTTAAGAATTCTTTTATGTTCGGAAAATTATTTAAAAAAAAATATATCATACAAATCACTTTTCAACCATTTTGAAAAATGAGTCATTTCTGCTGTTTGTGAAACAGGGTACCTTAACCATAATACAAGTACATTTTGTACCTTCAAATCTACAGCCATGAAGAAAACCAAATGTATCCAATGCCAGACCTGGTTCCTTCTGGTTTAATTTTGAAAGCGTTTCCTTAAACTTGTCATGGTTGTTTTCATTCTCATACTTTTATAGCTCTTTAATTGACTCTTTTACATCAGTTACTTTACTTCCATGAGTTAATGTTAAATTAAGAAATAATGTTTGGTTTTTGTTTCATATGTGACTCTTCATATATGACTTCATATGAAATTTGGTTGAGAACTTCAATGTGATGGTTATTAATTTGGGTACAAATATCCGAATTCAATGTTTTTGAAATACCATGTTTTGAGGTCTTGTCATTAATATTAAGATATGAACCATGGCAATGCAAAACAAATTTCTTGGTAGAGGGGTCTAAATACAGCACAAACAACATTTTCCTAAAGACCAAAAAAGTGAAAAAGTATATTTTAAACAAAACGCATTTGACTAATAGTTCGAACAACGGATGTTCTTAAACCCTGCTGACTGCCATTGGCGTATGCTAAATAAACGGATCACAAGATGTAACAAAATCGATCTTTATTATTTATTTAATACCAAACAGAAAACAATAAACTTGCGGAAAAGATGGTATAGCGCGATTATGAGGTGTAAAAATTTGTACACCATATCTGGTTTTCGACAATTAATGTCTCTTCAGTGATGTTAGGAATCGAAACGGTATTTGGAAGGCCATATGATTTACCTCAATTAAGTATAGACTCGTGAATTTTGAAGAGTCGAAATAGGATGAACGGATCATATAAACCCGAAAGCAAATATAATACAAGCCCAAACGAAAAAATATGAATAAGTCTAAATTGAAAACACATGAACTCAACAATTTTCTTTTCAAATTTCTCAGCTCTCTTAATGTTTTATCGTAATTACTATGTATATCCTGAATTGCACATGTATTATTTTTCGATATGTCAATTTTCAACAAGTATTTAAAAATCTTTACACAGATACAACCTCAAAAATTGCTTCAAGGAAAAGCAAAAGTACAAATTACCAATAATGAATGAAAATGTAATCCATGCTTTAAAAAGGAAGAACATTGCCTTTTATGAGTGGTAACAACAAGGTCAGCCAGGAGAACATAATAATTACTATCTGAATGTAAAAATAAACTCCACTCATGATCTCAGAAAGCTATGCAGAAAAGAGCTAGCACTTGAAGAATTAAGGAGCGCCACAAATTACACATACCAATCACCTGATTGTATAATGGAAGGGTGGACAAAGCATTTTGGTGATCTTGCCAAAAAATCAAATTATCTAAAATTTTAATTAAAAATACTTAGATTCCGTTGAAGATGAAACGAAACTAATACTGCAGATCTGTCAGGAAAATTATACACATGAGAAATTTCCATCCAAGAATTAAAACAGGTCATCAATAAATTAAAGACGAATAAAGCTATGGTTTATATGACACCACACTGTTAGAATTTCATTCATGCTAGCGAACCACTCTTAGAATATCTTTACTCATTAATACAAGCTTCGAGCAATGCTACATACCTAACATTCTGAAAATTGGAGCTCTTTTTTCTGTATTCAAAAACAAAGGTAACATAAAGAATGTTAAACATTATAGAGGAATCACAGTAACACCCACCTACTAGAAGATAATAGAGATAATGATTAAAGAAAGGGAAATAATAAGATCTTTTACAGCAATGAATTACCTACATATGTAGCATTATTGGATGGCAAATCTGCTTTTGACGTTGTAGTTCATACAATCTCAATTAGGCGTCTTTTTCAAATTTGATTCTCAAAACAGTATTTATTATCAACAATTTAAGTGAAAATGCAACATCGTGTATAGAATGGGGCAATAATATCTTAATTCATTTATTTAACATAGAACAAGGACTACGCCAAGGTGGAGCTTTTAGCGCTGATCACTACAAAATTAATATGAACCCTTTTTTACAAATTCTCAGTGATTCAGGCCTTGGAGGCAGAGTTAAAAATATATATTGCTGCGCTCGAACATGTGCTGATGATGTTGCTTTAATATCTAAGGATTCATTTGAACTTCAGAATATGACTAATGTAGCGGTTGATTTCAGCCAAAGACAGGGTTATCTACTACAACCACAAAAAACTGTTGTTCTGCCAATTAATAATAATGTAATAAAATGTTACACATTGAACTAGGTTTTTGAAAACTTCAAAATACTGATATGCCCATTGTTCAAGAAGCCTCACACTTTGGAATAAAAAAAATCTCTGAAAGACTCAAATCAAACAACCTTCATAGAAAATATCAAAAAAGATATATGTACAGTCTTATGGGGGCATGATTACACGATGAAAATGGTTTAGATCATGAAACATCAATCTCTTTATTTAGAACATAAATATTACCAGTGTTAGTTTATGGTTAAAAATACCGGAATTTTGGATACACCAAACCAGGCATTCATATCTGAGAAACAGGCTATATATGCCCTCAATTTTAAAATTCATTCATACATTTTTGTATTATTCAAAATTATCAGTAAATTGTGTGCTCTACAAAGAACACCAGTCCTTCACCTTTCATCTGATATCTTAATTACTAAAATATATGCTACATAGTTTAAGATTTACACCTGTGCGTAGGAACTATTTTGTTTTAAATATGTACTATTTTCCAGTATGTTCTTTTTCGAACGGGCCTGATTGGGTGGTGTTACATCTTACAAAGTCTATCCAAATGATTTTCGCAAAGAATTCCGTTTAAGCCGTTGCTAGGGGACGTCTTAAACTTGCAGTGAGGTGAGAGTTTTTTTGCTCCGTGTTGAGGACTCACTGTGACTTTGAGATGAAGAACAGCAATAAAAGCACTGTTCCTTTGCTTTTTGTATGTTTTTTTGTTGTTCATTTACTGATTTTGTGTCATGGATGGATACCCATATCCTTTGTTTTTCTATTAGAAGTCCTGGTACCTTCAGGTAAACAATTAAACTTTATTCAACAACAACATTAAAGGAGGATAAAACAGTTTCTATCTATCGACTTAAATGTAGCTGACCCTGCAGTATATATATATATATATATATATTATCAGGCCTACTCCCACTTGAAGCTGAGATCCATATCAAAATCATTACCTTATTGGGAAACATGACCAGATACGAATGATCATCCATTTAAAGGCAATTAGCGGGAAAAAAACTTTAAATTAAAACTTATTTAAGTAATAGTTGAGTTATTGAACTGAAAAAAAGACTGTGCTAAATATGAAATTTTAGATTTATTGCAACATCTTGAAAATCCATTACCAAAAATTAGACTTCGTTTGATTTTAACAAAAATTGAATTCTTGGGATTCTTTGATATGCTGAATCTAACCATGTATTTAGATTTTGGATACTGAACCATAATAGATAAATGTCCAATTACAAATTTTTAAGTTCTAAGACCACATTTATTTTGTGTCAGAAACCTATGCTATGTCAAATATTTAATCACAATCCAAATTCAGAACTGTATCCTGTGTATCAAGCTTGAAATTTTGCCCCAACTGTTCCGTAGGATTCGACCTCTGTGACTGTATCAAGCTGCGCTATTTTATTGTGTTTTTTGTTAGAAGTGCCAATTTGATGAGTCAAGCCTTTTCCATATTTTTTTATTGTTTTCTTATATTGTGCCGTTACATCACTGTCCTAATTTTAAACAATTTAACCCCACCACATTATTTATGCGCTTTTACCAACGGAGGAGCCTATAATGCAGTAGTTGTCGTTGGTTCCTGTCTGTCTTATTTGTTTTTCGGATCGTTTATTGTGTTTAGCATACAAGTCAGACTGTTGGTTTTGTGTTTTAAAATGTTTTATGTTTTGTAATGCCGTGGCCGTTCATAGCTTAATTAACGGTATTTGGTTTGCTCATTGGTCATTGACGGACAGTTGTTTTTATTTGCATTCATACCATGTTTCTTGTGTTTAGCCCACATGACCCAAAGGGTCACTGTGAGCTTTTACTCTCCGTGGCGACCGTCGTCGCCTGTAAAAATTGAAATCAACCTTCTCTGAGACTACAAAGCCAATTTGGACCAAACCTTCCCACAAACTTCCATGAGGTATATTGTTTTAAAAAATGTGTCCGATGATCTATAAATAGCAAAAATGATTTGCAGGACAATATCTATAAAGAAGCCAAAAAGGTTGAAATCGCCAGTGGAATCCTGAAACGAGTTATCCTTGAATGACGATGATTTCTTATCTATTTTTGTGATAGATAGATATTCATAATTATTCTAAATATCAGCACAACAATGTTAAATCTGCAAATTTTGTTCTTCCCCCGCCGGGATTCGAACTCATGCTATTGAGATATCGAGACAACACCGCCTACACTGTGTCCAGCGCTCTAGACCACTCGGCCACCTAGAATGAACTAAACATTCAGTTTTGGGTGGCCTAGTGTTACCTTTACTCGTCAGTAGAATCTACAGTTAGATGAAATAATTATTTCTGTGACTGTCACATGTTTAGACGTACTTCTGTGACTGCATCTTACGATCCTTTACGATAAATAATTTAGCTAATCTGCAATCAATTCCATCTGCATGCCTAATATATCATGTACTGTGTTACAACTCTAGATTCTACTGATGAGGAAAGGTGACACTAGGCCACCGAAAGCTGAATATTTAGTTCAGTCTAGGTGGCCGAGTGGTCTAGAGCGCTGGACACAGTGCAGGTGGTGTTGTCTCGATATCTCAATAGCATGAGTTCTAATCCCGGCGAGGGAAGAACAAAAATTTACTTCCGCGAATTTGCAGATTTAACATTGTTGTGCTGATATTTAGAATAATTATGAATATAATATGTGTTTTCAGCCGTGTATCACTTTTCCTGGTGACCCAATGGGTGGATCTGTCTGAGAGTTGTCACTTAATTGTTTAGACATTTTCGTTATTTGGGGAATTTGGTTTAAATGACATATTTTTTATTATTGAGTTAATTTTTTTCGCTACTTTTTATAGACTCTGGACGATTTAGAGCTTGACATATTAAACATATGTCATTGTTGAATTTTGCATGTTGCCCAATATATTGTATTTTTGTTATTTTGATCGTTCAGCTGATGTATTTGACGGATATCAAACATCTCATCTTGTGCATGCTGTGTATTCTTTTTGTTTTGCCAGGTTGTTTTCGTTTTGTCATTGATTTATGATATACCCCTGTGATAGCTTCTCTTTCTGTCTTAATGGTCTCTTACAAAATGTACAAAACGTACAATACTGCATTTAATGGGTTCATTTGCATGACGGGAATAGTTTTATTGATAAAATGAACGTCGGTTATCAAGTGGCACATAGTGTTTTGTAGTGTTGTAAAATGGTTATATATTAAGACGAGATTTACAGGGTTCATAAGGTGTCAAATGTTGAAAACAATTATACCTTCTGTGTTAAAAGTAAGGATTTGTACATTTTAACATATCTTATTTACATGAAAAATACAAATGGACTGAAAATATATTGCAATCTTGTGACAAATAAGCAAAATCATAACACATGAAACATCGGCGAATGACGTTTTCAAATGATTGCTTATTTAAATTCAAAGATAGTATAAAAAAAACAACAAAAAAACTACCCATATTGAAATTTTTAATATACTTTCAAAAGTGTGAAATAAGTAACATAGATGTTGCTGCAAAGCAATGGGTATTGTCGTCTGATACTTTTCGGTGATTTTCACTTCTTTTTTACGTGACAAAACACTGTTTCCGTAAATTTGTTGCTGCAGAACCCTTTGGGATCAAACATTTTCAAAGCATCTTTGAACTTTTTGGATAGCTAGTTTTCCATATAGCTTTTCCAGTTTACGTTTATCCATGTCTTGTATCATGCCCCAATGAGGACGACCTCCATGTTTATTCATCAGGCTATCGCGGAATGTTTTTAATGTGGCTTCTGCATCTGGGGTACCCTTTAGTATGTTGCTTATTATCATCATACTTGGACGATTATATTGCATTGCCATGAATGCTTTAGATTCTTTTGAGAATCGTACAGCAAATGGTGTTGTTACTAGTTGGTTTGCTTTCTTTTTTCTAATACATTGAAAAATTTCTATTACATCATCAACTTTCCTTATCATATCATCTGCACTTTCAACTTTCATTGCGCATTCACTGACTCTGACCTCCCCTGAAACCGCTAGACCAGACAAAGGATCAAGAGCTTCGCAAGCATCCATCACAACATCTTTGCACTGCGTGGCATTCATCATCAAGCATATCATTAACGGTAGGATCTCTGGATTTTTATCGCACGCGGTGGTAAAGGCTGGACGTATCCACTCTGGTTGAACGAAGTGCAAGTTTGGTCTCGTACCTTTTGGAGGACCTTCACTTTTTTCTAGCTTGCAAATCACTACTTGAATCTTATCATCGAGTTTGATCTCCTTTTTTTCAATTGGTGGGTACGGACAAACAAATAGCTCGAAACTGTGTAGTGAATTACCTTCATCATCAAAGAGGTCCTTCAATTGCCCTTTAGCATCCTTCCACGACATCATTGTACGATTTTCTTTCAAATAAAAAGCGTCTTCAATCTCCAAGATATACGAATAAACAATGCCCATGCTTCCAATATTCACAAGAGCTGCATAGAAATAATTGTCGTCTTGAATCAATTCGACGCCTTTAAAGTTTTTGGAAAAATCTTCTTTATTTGTGATCCCAATGGTGGGCTCCAGTTGATATTGTTTGATACAATCCGATTGAACTGTTATTAGTCTGAAAGACCTTACCATATCGGCTATAATCGGTTTATCCAGACCGTTTCCGTGCGCTGCAGTGGCTATAGTTCCTCCAATGGACAAATCAACACACCCTGTTTGATTCAGTAATACCTTGCCGTTTAGGGATTTACGTTCAGTACATGGCCAAAGATCATTTTGGATTGCGCTAATGGTAGCACCGGCTTCATAACAGCAATAACTTTTTTTGACATCCTCACTATCTTTTAGAGTTGTAGCGTTCTCCATTTCAATCTTTTTTCTGAGATACCTGTAATTTCAGATAAAAGTATAAGATATTATTAAATGCCATTTTATACAGCAATAGAAAGCAATACCTATATATCAAAGGGTCACAAAAATCGTAAAAGTACATGCAATGCCATGACCAATAGAAAAAAGGACCACAGTCCTGAAAACACAGTACAGGATGCAATGGTCAATTTAAAGAAGTTTCTTTTCAACTTGTATCATTCATCGTGTTACTAATGACAAGTTAAAATCCATTGATAAGCCGCATTCGTTGATAAGTCATAAAGACGCGTAAAGTTTTCGATGAGTTCTTTTCAATATTACCTTGGATTCTAAATACAATAGTAGCTTCATTGTAAGCAGTTACCCTTTTCAAGTAACTCTGATTGGAAATAAATGCTATGGGATATTATAAGATGCATGTCAACCTACATATGCTATACCCAGATCCTGATTGAATGTTTCTGCATGAAATTTAAAAGGGGGTTTACATTAGAGAACCTGAGGTAATAATTTCTTTTGTATTAATGTTTAATTTTTAACCGCATATATGTTCCTGTAACAATTATTTTCTTACCATATGTTTTCTGAAGTACAAATTGTTTCATCAAAGAAAGCTATATTCATTTCTATGCTGGGCACCTTTTTGCAAGCAAATGAGGACTTATTCATCAATATGTCTTTACGTTTAGTGTAAGGATGAATCATTTAAAACGATAAAGAATTTAAAATATCTTAATATTAGAATCAACATCTGATTAATGTAATCCCTAAAGTGGGGTGATTGGTTTCACAATTTTCTTTTGTTGATAAGTTAGGCATTAATTTTTTTTTATCTGAACTCAAATCCGTCAACATTACGTCGAGATTCCATCTCATAAGAGGTATCGTTTTAGATCCTTTATAACAAACTAAAAAGAGGAATGTTATAAAGTTCAGTATATTTCGCTTGAACTGATAGACATCGACCGAGATTTTGATGTTGATTGAAAAAGGCTTTGGAGGCATTCGTATTCCAAGTCATGAAAGTCATATTTTGGAAATGGACAAGTTCAACACATGAGGTCAAACATCCTTCTTAACAAATAATTGTATTCACAGTATCTGACCAAACTCCTTGACTTTTGTTCAATAGCAAGTGTCATTTGCATATTAAAGAAGACTGAAAGCACAGAAGGCTGTACAGTAAAACGTCCAAATTCGTCAGAGGACATAAATATATGCATAATGAAAAGGTAGTTAATATCATTCTGTGTTCTGAATATTAAGTATAAACGCACATGTGATTATCGATATTCATATAATTGGGATATTGCAATTACTTTAGTTTTGCATCTTTTATTTTTTGGATACAGGAATGGTGTATTTCTAATTTGTGGAATGCGGATGTAACGCATAGGATGATAGTGATTCGAGTAATCTGCACCATTAAATATAATCCGAGTGGGAAAGAAAATGCATTACGATTTCAGATCACCTAATCAACTGGATAGTTACAAAGTTTCGTTAATCTATAGATACACTTGTTTTTATTGGAAGTATGAGATGAAAAGTATATTCCAATTACAAATATTCCAGAATTTTACAGATTTTTTTATGTTTCGGTTGAAAGTTGAAACATATTTAATACTTCTCCACGAAAACTTTCGTGTGATGTGATTCTTGATTCGGTGCAGATGCAAGAAGTCTTTATCCGGTTTAGTAAAGTTTAATAAGTTTACATTTCATAATATGAATTAAAAGAAGAGGTCTGATATGAGCCATTTCTTTAGTCCTGAAATTGAAAGTAAAAAGGTTAAATTCCTCAATCCTTTTAAATACGGATAAATGAATAGTATTATGTCATTTGGATACTGCATTAAAGAAAGTCAGTTGTAATGTCCTTATGTCGTCATGAACATGTTGAATTTTACGCATTTGAGCTACTTTTTTACACATGGATTATTTTAAAACTAGCTAAGAACCAAGGTTTCACTCAAAAAGATATTCAAACACCATTAATATCTTTGCATAAGACACTGTCACGGATAGACGAGAGCTGACTTAGGAGTTTGTACTTACAGATAATAAATGACTACTACTTTAAACAAAATAACAATTTAATTAGGTACAAATTTACAAATATAAATAGATGAAATCAAATGAAATAATACTGTCAAATGTTTAATGAACTGTTCCTTCTTCTTTATATTAAACTATGAAATCTGGATAAACGATACTACGGAATTTTACGTATTTGGTTTTCGGTAACTACACAAAACTGGCCCAACATAAGCGATGTACACATTACGGCTGCCCTATTGTCTAGACTCGACTCCAAATATTCTATGTTGCCAAACTATTGATGATAAACACGGAACGCCGCACTGTCAACAGGTTTCACCACCATCTGTACTATATCTCCATACTTTACAATACAAAACTACATACACCTAGCCCGCAAACTGGGACCTATTGAAATACATACTGTACGTTAAGATACAATACTATACTTAAGAAATATACATATGTTTATGTATTACACATGTCGCATAAATAATGACAAATACTTAGTACAACTACTTATGTTCAATCTATAGAAGATTATAGCATATTGAATAATGCATTACTTATACACAAATAATTACGGCATATCGTATAATGCCTTACTTTACACAATACAAACTACGGCATATCGTACAATGCCTTACTTTACAAGTCACATAATTGACTTTATTGTATACTATCATTATACAATTACTACACACAATATACAGCTTTTAACGCTGAATATACATTTATGCTTATACGTTGCATATTACTTTACATACTTATGGAGATACATACATCATTGCATTATCGTACGCAAACGTTCCTAAAATACCAAACAATTTCGATACTCGAATATTTACTACAGCCGGAAACATATAACCGTGTTAAACTTTCATTATAATGAACATTAATTAACTTATTACATTTATAAAATAGCAATGTCAAAAATTACAATTACAATTGAAATAATTATTCTATATTTGCGTTGTTGCAGAAAACTGAACACTTTAGAACGAATAATGATTAAATAAATAAGAATAAATTGAATCCTACCTCAGAAATCCAGTGTGTGTGTCCACGCCACATTGTAAACTAACTTTATACAAACATTTCTGACCACACATTGACTCGTTAAGGTGTTACCTGAGAGTGAATAGTCAGCTCATCAAATACAGGTATCACTGTTACTCAACCCGTTCGACAAGTTTACCGGTAAATGCCCAAGTAAATAGTGGACACTACTTAATTAATTAGATGTAAAATGTGGACATGTATTATACACCGAAGTCTGCAGAATATAGCATTTATAAGATACTGACGTTCTGCAAATCGAAATAGAATTAACAACCAAAATAACAACATATATGTGAGTAAACAAATTCACCCTGTGACAGTTACCTTGTAGCAAAATGTCTTATCGGTTAAGTTCATGGCTCATATCTAAATAGTAATGTTAAGATTTCAAAATGGTGCTATTTTGGCAGTTTGTGCACAGACGTATGAAGCCCTATAGCAAACATAAATGTATGTTTTGTCGTTGGGGTGATGTGTCATTGAACCAGATCGTCTTTTATTCATATGCAAGACACCATTCACAAATATAAAAAATGATATCTGACAGAGTAATCAATGTCTAGTGAACATTTAATGGATGCGTCTGTATAGATCGATGACAATACTTTTGGATTTTCGAATTCAATGGTCCAAAATCTTGCTCTCTCTCTCGATCTTAATCTTAAAGTTTAGCGATTTTCCAATCGCCGTGATTGAATATAAAAAAAATAAGACCACTTGTGACCGAACGCCGATGCGCACTCGTTTGAGCCATGCGTCGTTCGGGCACGCGGTGTTTTATTTTTGATATTCTAATACGGCGATGAGTTGTACTATAAATCATTTTGATAAAAGTTGAAACCAAAATGCAAATCGAACGATCGGGTATTGTCTTACGTACTTGAAATCAATAACATTTACGTCAACTTCATTTTCTGATTTGATAATATTACACCATTCTCTGCTGTGATTTGTAGAAGTGGCTTTCATACGCTTTTTGTTTTTTCTGAGGTCATCCATTACTTCAATGAGTTCTTCCAAGGTTGTCGGGAAAGGATTGGGCGATTGATCTCCATCAAAATTTTCGGCTGGAAATAATTATGTATAAAATACAAAATAATAATAATAAAAATTCTATATTTTTTTCATTGGATAAACACCTTTTAAAAAGGTTAGCAGTATTAATATTGTGCTGTAATGCTTCTATCATCTATTGACTGTGAAGAGTATAGAAAAAAGTTTTTCAAAACCTTTGACTATCAAAAGTTGATTGACATTGGAAATATTCAAAAAGAATGGCAAAATGCTAGAATAACTCAACTTTTAAATTAAATGTAGCAAGTTGGATATTGGAAACTACAGATCAGTCAGTTGGACTTCAATTGTGTGTTAAATTTCAAAATACAGTATCCATTAACAAATAAATAATCCTCTACTTAGAATTCCCCTTTGACTTTCGTTCTGGAATATCCTATATCTTACTGTTAGTCGACATCAATGTGGATTTGTCAAATTTTTATGGATAATGACGTACCTGATATCTTACACAATGACCGTGATTTACTTTACAACTGACACAAATCATGTGGTATGAAAAAGTAAAATCCCAAAAATACTGCTCCAAGGAAAACCCAAAACAGCAAGTCCCTAATCAAATGGCAAAATCAAAAGCTCAAACACATCAAACGAATGGATAACAACTGTCATATTCCTGACTTGGTACAGGTATTTTCTTATGTAGAAAATGGTGGATTGAATCTGGTTTTATAGCTAGCTTTAATGTTTAATGTTAATAAGTGTAAGCGCATCCACTTTGGTAGACATCTTTTTATTCTTCAATATTGTATATTGCGCTCTAGATGTCTTATGTTGAGTTGCTGTCTCATGTACGTATACGCACATCGCCTTTTATTCATCAAAAATACAATGATGGAAAGAACATTCCCATAAGAATCAAATTATTCAAATTGTGAAGGAATCATGTTGAAAAAAAGAAATGGAATGCTTTATCACCTACCTTTATACGACGCAACATCTTGGACTATCGCTTTGATATTTTTTGTATCATCCACTGGCATTGTGCATCCATAAAGTTCCCCGAAATATTTTAAAGAGTCCATGGTAATTGATTTCAATGAAATCACTTTGTCTGAAAGAAAAATCCCATAAAACAATAAAATGCAGAGAGAAGATTCCAAATAATAGCCCTAAAATAAACCATTTATCATGATAAAATGTCACGCGGGCAAACTTCTTGGGAAATTTGATTGTACAGATTAATTCTAAAAGTTAAATATTTTATCGAATTGCCTTTAACAAGTTTAAATGTATACCTCATAAATATTTGTATAATTATAGGAAGTCACTTAAATCTATTTACGATATTTGATCAAGAACTTTTAGAATATATGAAAGATTAAACATGAGAAGTGAAACATGAAGTTATTCCAAAAAATTATATTAAATTCTTTGTACAGTCTTTTTCTATCTTAGAATATACAAAGAAAAAAACTATAATATAAAAATATAAGAAATTGAAATTAAAATGCTCTTCTAATGAATGACAAATCTTTCAAAAACGATATGTTTGATGCGTTTTGGTAAATAGTCTAATTCAGATTAACTTGCAGTGAGGTGAGAGTTATTTTGCTCCGTGTTGAAGGCCTCACTGTGACTTTGAGATGATGAACAGAATAAAAGCGCTGTTCCTTTGCTTTCTGTGTGTGTGTGTGTTTTTTTTTTTTGTTGTTGCTGTGCATGAACTGATTTTGTGTCATGGATGGAATTCCCATATCCTTTGTTTTTCTATTAGAATTTAATGAAAATATAACAAACAGAAATCCAACATCTAAGTACGACTGAATGACAAATCTTTTAAAAACGATATGTTTTCCTCTTATAGTTGATGTGTTTTTCCTCGGTTTTAGTTTGTAACAATGCTCTTCTACTGGAAAACAAATCTTTCAAAACGACAATTTTTGCGTCTTGTTAAAGGTCTAATTCAGATGCGGTTAGAACATGACGAAAATATAACACACAAAAATCCAGCATATTCGTAAACGCGATTAGACAACAAGAAAAGTGCAAAAAAAAAAGAAAATAAAATGCAAATAACAGTTTACAAATTTGTCTGGATTTACGTTCACCAGGAACGCTAAAAACCGAATATTTGAAAGCCAAGGATGTATAAGAAACAAATAGGCGTGAAGCTATGTGACCAAAAAAAATAATAGCCAAATTCATCTAAGATCAACCGTGCCTGATGGAGTAGGAACCTTAGTTTTAATTTACAAACGAACAATTTAAAACGATATGCTATAAATCACTTAAATACCCAATTAGTGAATTGATAATCATTTCTATCATGCAGTTTTACACTCTAACGTAAATTTGGTCATCTAAATACCTGCAAAAGATTAATTTCTGTCATTAGTAAATGTGTCTAATGTGAAATTCAACTACAACTGTGTTGATACTTTAGCAGTTTGTCTACTGTGATGCATATTGTCATAATAACATTTACAGAGAAAACAAGAATATCTTTAGAGTCTTTCATATTTGTGACTTTTTACGAAAGATATGAAACAACAAAAAACTCTAAAACTCTTACTAATGATGGCATATTTTGGTATTAATATTGATTCACTCATAGGCTCTTTTCATCGGAAATAAATACATTTGTTCTAAAACCAGTTTTTGGCATGATACAAGTTATGTTCTTCTCATATATTTTATGATACTAAACCCCTAACGGGAGGGATTGTGCTTGATTTTCATATGATGAAGACATAATCTTTCAATCAGTTTAATTGAAGTCTGGAGCTGGCATGTCAGTAACTGCTAGTAGTCCTTTGTTAATTTATGTATCATTGTCATTTTGCTTAGTTTCTTTTGTTACCTATTCTGACATCGAACTCGGACTTCTTTTAAACTGAGTTTTACTGTGAGTATTGCTGTGTGTTTGTTTATTCTAAATTGGCTAGAGGTAAAGAGTGAGGGTTGAGATCTCACAAAACATGTTTAACCCCGCCGCATGTTTGCGCCTGTCCCAAGTCAGGAGCCTCTGGCCTTTGTTAGTCTTGTATGTTTTTTAATTTGAGTTCATTTATATGTTTTGGGGTTAAGTATGACGTCCATTTTCACTGAATTAGTATACATTTTTATTAAGGGGCCAGCTGAAGCCCGCCTCCGGGTGCGGGATTTTCTCGCTGTGTTGACGACCCACTGTTGGGCTTCGGCTATTTTCTGCTGTTTGGTCGGGTTGTTGTCTCTTTGACATATTCCCCATTTCCATTTTCAATTTTAAGACTTTAGATCATGAAAGGAGATATAATCAGCTTCTTAAAGAAATGTAATGCATACGAATTTTCCTGAAAATTTACATATTTGTTTTGTTTCTTTCTGACAAATTTGGATTGAACTTTTACCTCACCATTAAAATATACAACAGTCAATGGTGTGATTAGGGCGATATTGTGAACTACTCTGCTTAGAAATAGGTTTTTTGTGCTATTTTCGCAAATTGCTGTAATCAAATTAAAGCGTTTGCCGTAGATTGTTAGACGATAACAAACCGTCGGGGCTTCAGAATTATTGCTTTATAAAAAAAAAGTGCAAAGTTCTTAGAAAGTTTGATCATGTTGATTCTACAGATTAATTTTAAAAGCTAAATATTTCTTCGAATTGATTTTAACATTCTTAAACCCATACCTTATAAATATTTGTATAATTATAGGTAGTCATTTAAGTTTATTTACCATATTTGACAAGGAACATTTAAAAGATATATTTACAATACATGAAAGATTAAACAATACAAGTGAAACATGAAGTAATTTCAAAAATTAATATTAAATTCTAGGTACAATCTTTTCCTTTCTTAGAACATACAAAGCAACATGACTATAATATATAAATATAAGAAATATTAAGTACAATTCTCTTCTAATGAATGACAAATCTTTCAAAACGACAATTTTTGCGTCTTGGTAAAGGTCTTATTCAGATGCGGTTAGAATATGACGAAAATATAACACACAAAAATCCAGCATATTCGTAAACGCGGTTAGTCAACAAGAAGTGCCAAAAAAAATTAATAAAATGAAAATAACACTTTACCAATTTGTCTGGAATTACGTTAAAAAATCTTTCAAAAACGATATGTTTGATGCGTATTGGGAAATAGTCTAATTCAGATGAGGTTAGAATATAACGAAAATATAAAAAACAAAAATGAGACATTTTCGTTAGATAGGTTTAGACAACAAGCCAAGTGTCAAAATAATAAATAAAACTAACACTTCATTTTTCTTGATTTACTTTCACCAGAAAGGCTTAAAACCGAATATTTGAAAGCCAATGATGTATAGGAAACGAAATAGGTGAAGATCTATTTGACAGAAAAAGTAAAATCACAAAAATACTGAACTCCGAGGAAAATTAAAAAAGGATAGTCCCTAATCAAATGGCAAAATCAAAAGCTCATTCACATCAAACGAATGGATAAAAACTGTCATATTCCTGACTTGGTACAGGCATTTTCTTATGTAGAAAATGGTGGATTGAACCTGGTTTTATAGCTAGCTAAACCTCTCACTTGTATGACAGTCGCATCAAATTCCATTATATTGACAACGATGCGTGAACAAAACAAACAGACACAATAGGTAAAAATGTCAAAAATAGGGGTACAGCAGTCAACATTGTGTTATCATCTTATTCACTATAAAAACAAATAAATGTAACAAAGAGGCACAAAAAGGGCATACATCAAATTTAACATCTCATTATGCTTTTTTATTATACGATTTTATTTATCTATGTAAAATCCACCCAATGGACTTAAAATTGATAGCCAAAATCCATCTAAGGCCAACTTTGCCTGAGGGAGTAGGAACCTTAGTTTTAACTCATAAATGAACAATTTAAAACGTTATGTTATAAACCACTCTAGTAGCAAATATGGTAAATTGATTTCATTTCTATCAGTTTTACACTTACAGAGATCTAATGCATACGAACGTTCTTGAAAATTAACATGTTTGTTTTGAACTTCAATAAAATGAATGTGCATGAGGTGATGAAACTCAGAAACAAACTATATGCTGATAATTTTACTTTCATTAAAACTGACACACTGCTTGGAAATAGGTGGTTTCATTCTATTTTGACATGATTAATCAGACTAATGCCTTTGCCTCAGACTGTTAGGCAATGATAAACTATCAGAAGTTCAGAATCATTGCTTTAAAAAACGTGCAAAGTCCGCAGAAAATTTGATTGTACAGATTAATTATAAAAGTTAAATATTTCCTCGAATTGTCTTTAATAAGTTTAACGCATACCTCATTGATATTTGTATAGTTATAGGTAGTCATTTAAATTTATTTACGATATTTGACAAAGAACATTTAGAAGATATATTTAGAATACATGAAAGATTAAACACGAGAAGTGAAACAATAAGTTATTCCAAAATATTATGTTAAATTCTTCGTACAATCTTTTCCTATCATAGAATATACAAAGCAAAATGACTATAATATAAAAATATATAAAGCTCTAGATGATGAAAGTAGATATAATCTGCTTCCAACAGAGATATTATACATACGAACTTTTTTGAAAATTTATATATTTGTTTTGTTTCGTGCTGACACTTTTAGATTTAGATTCAACGTTTACCTCTCCATTGAAATACACCAACGGTTAATTATATGATCATGGTGATTATGTGAACTTCAATAAAACGAATGTTCATAAGGTGATGTATTTAAAAAAACTCAGAACAAACTGAAGTAATTATCATGATAATGTTTTGCATTCTGACTAAACAAAGTCAAATAATCCATTGTGTTCTTATTTTGTCGAAGACCAACACTGTTTTATGTTACATGATGTTTTCCAGAGGTCACTAACGCATTCCCTTGACGCACAATACTCTTCCAGTACCACTTTAGCAAATTCGTTCTGATTTTTGAAAATATAGATTGTTTTATAAATTTCCATATTATTTACGGAAAGTTTGATTGAATACATTAACAAATTCACACTTTTTAAGTGTGAAGAATATGAAATAATAATAATTATTCAATATGCATGTGTACAAATACTTGAATATGATTGGTACGTTCGAATTTTTGTCCTTGTCTGACTTTTCGGTAGACTATGTTGCTGTAACCTATGTACAGACTATGTCAATGTTACTGTAGTATATTTATATAGAAAAGAAGCTGTGGTATGAGTGCCAATGAGACAACTCTCCATCCAAGACACAATGTGCAAAAAGTGAACAATGATAGGTCAAACTACGGCCTTCAACACGGAGCCTTGGCTCACACCGAACAGCAAGCTATAAAGGGCCACAAAATGACTAGTGTAAAACAATTCAAACAGGAAAACCAACTGTCTTATCTATATAAAAAAAACGAGAAACGAGAAACACTTATGAACCACACCAACAAACGAAAACCACTGAACAACAGGCTTCTGACTTAGGACATGTGCATACAAATGCACCGGATTTAAACGTTTTAACAGGCGTCAACCTTCACCCTAACCTGAAACAGTAGTGTAACATTACAAAATTAAAAGACAGACTATAAAATATCAATTGAAATGGCTTAACTCGATCAGGGGTTTATGCATGTTATACACATGATGGAATGCTGGGTTTCAAAGAAAGTTGAAACTGATTGAAAATAAAACAAATGTAGGATTGAGAATTGTAAGAATTAATCACATTTTTCTAGATGTAATACTGATGTGCAAACAAACAACTTGAATGAAATTTCTGACTCACAAACTTCATATAAAACTTATTGGTACTTTTATGCAGCTTTCCGTGAGTTAATCGATCCAGTTAACACATCAATAATCTAAAGAACAATTGTTTTAATCCTATGATAAATCGTGATATTTAAAAGAGGTAAACTAAGCCATCTCCCCCCTAACCCATGATAAAAGTCACTGTTACAGTGTAATCAACAAATGTGTCAATCATATAACATAATAACGACATTTTTCTACCTAATTCTCCATTTTTGATAGTATAAATACGTCTTTTAAATAAGTGAATAAGATTTGTCTCACCTTAAACAGAAGCTGAAACTGAAGTATTCCAGTATAGACCAAATGTGCCTTTGGTCCTTGTGATCGACCTTAAATTGTTGAAAATTCACGGAAAACCAGTACCACGTGACGTAATGACTTATTTATAAAACCAATGAAACAATAAAATAGTTAAAGGGTTATCTTTTTAGTGCAAACTCCTAAATGCATAGGCGTGTCTACATACGAATAAACCTGGTTATTACAACCAACCGAAAGTTAAAAGCTACAATTTTGAAATCGTCAAAGTCTTTGTAACATATAAGGAGAAGGTATGAAAAGGCCACTTTTTGGACCTCTGAATTTGAAAATCAGAATAAATTTTCCAAATAACATCCTTCAGATGTTCATTAGACATTAGACTGTCAATCATCGGTATTTATATTTTTGAACATATTTTGATATATTTGCATTAGGCCTCAGTAACACATCAGAATTTTTACTGCCGTCGTTGATATGACCATTCCGATTAAAGTTTGTCTTGAACGTCGGTATTCAATCACCGCAACAATCAGATATTAGACAGGAAGCATCCCGATTATCCCGTTTTCGATCCGATTTGTTTCTTTCGCATGGTGGAAAAACAGCTGAATCTGTTCCGACAAAGTCACAATGTGACCCGATAGAGATTAAGACAGTGACCAGACAGTGAACCGACGCAGGACATTGTTACAAATTTGATCAGATACATACTTTTTTAGCCGACTATACGGTATGGGTTTTTCTCATTGTTGAAGGCTGTATAGTTGCCTATAGTTGCTTACATCCAATTTATTTGAACTTTGTTGGTTAGTTGTCTCATTGCCGATCATACCACATCTTCTTATTTTTAAAATGTGTGTAAAATATCTTTTTGGGGTAAGGCCTTGACTCATATCTATTTCGACTAAAAGCATGTGTTAATTAACAATTTAAGGTCAGACGTGTCAATTTCGACATGTTTAAGACATCATAGTGAAATTGCAAGTGACCTTTCTGCACTAAAGTGTCCAAATAATATCTCCTTGTTCGTGTATCAATAACATGAACATAAATTTGGAAAAGTTTGACTAATTCTTACTAATTTTGATATTTCAGTGGCCAAAGAATACCTCCTTTCATATTAAATTACTTTAAATTTGTTAAAGGCATATTGATACGGTAAAAAGAAGTGCAGAACTTATGTGTATTTAACCAAAAAAACCAAAAAAAAACCAAGTATACCTTTTTTGTAAATTATAAAGAAATGTATCTTCAAACTGAGACAAATAATTAAACAATCGCCTATCTGCTTATTCAATCTGATGAAGAAGAAACATATTTTTCTTATTCAGTGGGATAGCCGTTGTCCTTATACGGTATTTATTCTTGTTATTTTTACAGATTTTTAATAAAAAGTTATTTTCATATACATGTATATATTCATTTGTATTCTTTTCAAACGGGATGTATAAAAACACACCTACGTTCATTTTTATCTATTAAGAGGTTAACTCCCAACTATCCTACTGCCTGTCGATACTTTTATTTTTGGCATTGCACAAGTCATGTCTTCTTTGACTGTCCATGTCGTTAAAATACTAAATCCCTGTGATGTGTTTTGGTTGATTTTAGTCTCTGATGCATGATTTTTTTATTATTAATTGTTTTTGGCTTTTAACTAGCTGTCAGTAACTGTGAGTACTCTCAAATCGTACTTTCTTGTTAATTTAACCTGTTGATACTATTTGTAATGCTTTTTTGTTATTTAATGTTTACTTATTCTGGTTATATCTGGTCTATATACCAGCTTTGATAAGTGTTTGGTATTACTATAAATTTTCACTTCTTCGAACTATGAGCATCAACATTATTTATTTGTAAAAATATTTCCTTTCTCTCATTAAACTGTATACCTAACAACAAAATTATTTTCATTTACCTGTGTATAATATTATTGTAAATGGCGGATTTTTGTTTAAGGTTATTGTTGTTTTTCTGAAATTGTTTAACATTTCACAGCAGTATAATACTGTTACTTTAATTATTCATCCCTTATTTTATTGATTTCGTATTTACATTGTATCATAGATCAAATTTATTCGTTCAGTGAATGTTCACTTGTGTTAATATGTCTTTTGATTGAGTTAAGCCATTTCAATTAATATTTTATAGTGTGTATTTCTATGTTGTGATGTTACACTATTGTTTCAGATAAGGGTGAAGGTTTGGTACCATCAAAACGTTTAAACCCGCTGCAATTGTTTGCACCTGTCGTAAGTCAGGAATCTGATGTTCAGTAGTTGTCGTTTGTTGATGTGGTTCATAAGTGTTTCTCGTTTCTCGTTTTTTATATAGATTAGACCGTTGGTTTTCCCGTTTGAATGGTTTTACACTAGTAATTTTTATGGCCCTTTATAGCTTGCTGTGCGGTGTGAGCCAAGGCTCCGTGTTGAAGACCGTACTTTGACCTATAATGGTTTACTTTTATAAATTGTTACTTGGATGGAGAGTTGTCTCATTGGCACTCATACATGTACCACATCTTCCTATATCTATATAAGCATCGCAAGTTTTTCCGGACATCATATGTATATATTTATCCTACCTCATATACACTTCTAGGAATATCATTGGTTTAAGGCGAACACGTGCAGACCCTGTATATTTAATATAGGGTTAGTTGGCGTGTTTTATTTTAGTATACGATTAGTAGTGGTACGTCCCTTTATAAATACAACACGGCGTTGATGAAAAATCTGAAACGTTTCGCCCGGACAACAGATGAAGAAATTTATGATGAACGATTGAAAAAAGATGCAGAAAACACATTAAAAGCTAACAAGTTGATATTGTTGGCACTTGTTTTTGAATAGATCAATGGAAGTAGGTTCTTAATATTGAAGATTTGATCACACTGCGTATCTAATAACATCGTGATTTGGTGTCACATAATACAATGGATAATTGTATTCGTAGTAACCACAATCCCGTCTCATTTTTTTGTCGTTGATAGCTAATTACAAAATGCGACTTATAATAGGATTTTTACTTTTCACGAGCAACACAATGGATGCCACTAGTGGAGCAAGAACTACAAATCGTTTATACCTTATTTCACTGACAGATGTTGCTTGTTTATGTGTTGTTCATCCTTAATTTTCTTATTTTAACTTGTATAGACTGTTGTTTGTCTTTTTTCTTTTGGTCATAGCGTTTCTGTCTTGCTTGGACATGTGATTTTTGATTATCCACCTGCATGCAATCTTTTAACTTTTTATATAATTCTTTCAAAACCGGCTATATTTTAGCAATTTTAATAATTTTTGTTTACATCGCTGTTATAATTTTGTCCCTTTATTAATGACTGGATGACCTTCGAACGAACGAGCAAACGAGATAACCGTAACATCCCCGTTGATAAATTATGAAAATATTAAGAAACTAAAGTTCCAACTCCCTTAGGCAAAGCTGATCTTAAATATTGCCTTTTCTTTTTAAGTTCCTTTTGTTCATATAGCTTCTAATATTTCTACGTATCTATACATCCCTGGCTTCCAAATGTTTATGTTTGAACGTTCCATGTGCAGGTAAATCCAGAAAATTTAGACCCTTTTTTGGCTAAAAAACATAAAATAAGTGTAAAATGCATTTTATAGTTAAAGTGTAGGGTTTGGACATTTTTGGTGCCGTATTCTCTCCATTAATTGTCTATTATGAAATGATTGGATGGATCCAAAGCTATGTACTAATTAATATATTTGATGTGGGATTTGTCAGTAAAAAATGGACATGGAAAATTCTCGTTTGTTGTATGGTTAGTTAGCATATCCTCACAGATTTCTTGTTGTAAACAAGATATACGGCTATTCAATGAAATTTACAATACGACCGACACGAAGAAAGACAAACAAGCAGTTTTTATCCAAATGTTTGGTTGAAATGTTTCAACCAACAAGGGAAGTGAGGGGTTCCAAATCAACCAAAGGCTACGAATGAGTCGGAAATGACAATGAAGTTGTGAATGACGGTCGACACATGGAGACAAAGGCCACACCCAGCAGGCAGGTTGCAGTCGGGCCTTGAAAAAAGTATTCAGTATATCAGTTCGGCGAAACAGACATTCCGGTCAGATATGGGATTCACATGAAACCCCCACCCCCCAAAAAAAAATTACGCCCGTTTTTTATTCATCATGTTCATTTAATGCTAAATAATTTTGTTGAAAATATTTTTTTCTAATAGCAAAAAAGTGGACAAGATTATTGTTTTCAATCCAGATACGGCCAGAATTTTTGTTTAAGGCAAAAATCAGGGTCAGAATTTTTTCTCTAAAATATCTCAGACTGCCCCCTCAAATCAAATGGTCCGTACCTTAGATTTATATCTATATCTGGAGCTTCACTATTCCCCAATATAATAATATTGCTGTGGAACTTTTTTTTTCCTGAGAGTGTAATAGAGTATTACTTTCTGTTGGGTGGAATTGTGAAAGAGAAGTCAATACGTTCTTGCTCAATACTTTGTCGCTTTGAAGGCGTCATGCTTGTCATCCTCAGCCTAAGCAATGTGTTACTGTAATTGACTGTAAAATGACTGAGTGACGTTTTTTTCGACGTACTAGTCAACTCCACCGTAGCGAATCACTTGACTTTGACATAATCAATAATATATTACAGTAAATACGTTCAAAAAATATATTTATAAGTAAAGAATTGTCGTATAAAAATTAAATACACGGGAAATGGCAAAGTTCGCGAAGTCTAGTCTGATTAATCATTTTACAAAAAAAAAAAACAGAAAAAAAGTGCAAGCAAAGGGGGGGCGTACGCCCTCTACGCCCCCCTCTGGATCCGCCACTGGTTGTTTTCATTTTATATCATACCGGTATTATAAAGCCATGTACTTTATTCCATTTATCGATAAAAAGGAGATGACTGAACATGCTGAAAAAAAAAACAGATCCAAAAAAGCATATTTGTATGTGTCTGTCTAGAGTTTAGGGCATCCGGTCTTAAACTTTAATCAGTACTCGGTGTTCAAAACTTTTGTTCGAAATATCAAATCCAGTATTTTGATTGGTTGAATTCTTAGTCTGAGTATGATAATCTTAC